GTGACTACACTGTATCGAAAGGTTGCACAGGAGCATAACAATGCGATACTTCCCTCCAAGCCGAGCGGCGCGCTGGAGCTGCATTCCTACACACCGATATCACGACAACCTAGATCCGCATTGTAGGCCAAGGCCACACAAGATGAAGCTTGTGTTTCGGGTAAGACTCGGATTTAATAATTTAGGTTAATGTGAAATGCAGAAGTACCTTTGCGGGGCGACATTCCGGCTTATGCTTAGCGGAAACTTTCTGCACTCCTGGTAAAAAAAAAAAGGTATGTTCCAGTTTCTCCGTCAGGTGATTTGTAATTTCGACCTGTAATTGGTAACTTTCAGAAATTTCGAGCGTGATGCTTATGAATCCCCGAGTGTGCATTAGAAGCTTATAAGGAGAATATCATATTCAATAGTTACACTGTGTAAGAGAGCTCTGTGAAAGACATATTAAGAAGTCTGTCAGTTTTTCAGTTTTGCCCTTTTTATTCTGTGCTAGTGTGTGTGGTGGGGGGTGGGGGGTGGGGGGTGGCGTCCACCTTTGTCCAGCCTCGCACGAGGGCTCTGAAGGTCGTTGTAATCAAATGAAAAATCAATAAAGCGTTTGAGTCTTTTGAAACACTGAGCACTGAGATAATAGAGCAATATGATTATACTTGGCACACAAAGAGGACCAACGTTCGATCTAACCTGTTTGTGACAAAAAGTTTTGTTCACGAAATTTACGAACTGCTTAATACGTTAAAAATAACAGTATACATAAAACAGTTTCCACATATACAGTTGGAGACATGACCAAAGAAAAAAAAAACACCTTCTTTGTGCTGTATTGATTAATCACTTCCGTATATTTTTTCCTCCCGAAGGCAGGAAGGAACAGCCGCATTTAACATACTTCTCCAAAGGGATACGTTTTTTTTCCCCCTTTGTAGAACCCCCATGTTTCGTTTCACCTCAGCCAGGACGTTTCATTTTACCCTTGAGAACGTTGTATTCGCAGACCGGCTTGCTTTTCGCATTTTATTTACGAAGGTAATAGTAAAACCATTGCTTCTTCACGTCTTCGGGGCATGAGCAGCTTCCACCATTTTTTGTTGAGGAAGTAGTTGGATGTCGTTGCATTTAATCTCTACCGCAGCAACCACATTTCCCATAGCGGCCAAAACGCATGAGGTTCGCGTGCTGAGATTTAAGCACAAGTTTTAAAAACCCAGCTGGTAGAAACCTTCGAAGTCCCTTACTAATGCCCCAAAAAGGAAATTACGGTTTTGCGACATTTACCCCAATTATTATTATTATTATTATTATTAAGAAATGGCCATGATTACAATGTGATTTGCTGAACGACGATGGAACACTAGTCTGCTAGGATTGCAAAAAGGTCGCTAAGAATTTGCGAGTAAATTTTGCGCACGTGATAGATAGAATGATATGATTACGACATAATTTCTGAACTTTTCTATAGTGCGCACTTCTGTTGAAATCGCACACATTCCAGAACGAAAGCCCTTATACTAGTCGAAATAACTCAGTTCCCCAGGCCTACGTGGGGCATTCCTACCGGCCGTCGTACTGGTCAACAAGCTGCTATAAGTAGCTCGCCACTGTAAGCAGTACGACGAATGTTCCGTTGGGCACAGATGGGGGGCTCAGTGGGAGATCGCGTATGAAGTACACGGAGACAAATTCTGCTCTGGAGTCCATTCGATCCGGGGGCCGAAACAGGATAGAAGGAGAATGAAAACACGAACATGAAAAAAAAAAAAGATCCGGGGCATCGCTGGCTGACACTGCGACTGACAAGCTATTTCATCCACTGGAGCGAGATATTGCGGAAGAGCTATTTCTCGGAACACTCCGCTGCCTGGCTGCTACTGCTTCTGTTAGGTGGAGAACGGTTAGCTAGTCGCACCAGCGCAGGATGCGGAAGAAGATCGCATACACACTCACTTGGGGAATCGGGAGGGCCTCGGCGATGCTACCAAACACGTCCTTCGGGGATGCGGCAGCCAACCCCCAAACCTCCTTTCAGACTTCGCACTCTCTGACAACTCCCCTCCCTAACAAGCAAGCAAAAAGGAAAAGAAGAAATGCGAGGCAGACTGGTCTCTCTACCCCGCAGTGTGATACTTCAAGAATTCAATAAGGTCCACGTGCCACCACACTGCCAAACAGAGTCATCGGGTGAGCCATCCTGCGAATTTCCTGTGCGGGTCTTGACGTGGACTACTATATAAAAAAGGGGGACATTACAGCGTATTTGTTCCTACGTATAATGCTGACTCATACGTCGCAAAGACACTGATGTGTAAATGATACAATATTAGAAGCAAAGAAAGAAAAAAAATGGGTGACGACCATGATAAGACGAATCTTTGCGTTTAGGTATTACAGCGGAAGGGAATCGTCGCCTGCAGCAGTGCATCGCGATCACCTGATAACATCTTGCCGGTATAGCAATGCTTGAAGTGGTGTCGTTTGTCGTCTCTACGCAGCATACCCGCGACCTCTTTTGGCGTCATACAGCATTGATGACTTTTTTTTCAGCGGCCGTGGCAGCGAGGAAAGCAATAAGTCATCGTTTACGGAGGTGTCACTTTGTGTAGCTGCCAAACGGGTGCAGAAATACGACACTAATTTATTGGAATCAGTGAGTATTCGTGGAACAAGACTGTCCAGGTTTCATGCTTGTGACTCGCTGCAAGGTATGAAAAACGAGAGACAAAACGGGGCCCAGCTTTAGCGCAACGGGGTGCCGAGGTTGCACAACCATCCTCGAATCACATGAAAGAAAAAGTGTGATAGGGTGAACTTCTTGGCTAGCTTGTTGAACATATTCAGTAAGGAAATAGTGCAGTGAAAATGAAGACGAAGCAAAGGACAAGCATTACACACCACACAAAGCGCTGACTATAAAAAAATAAAAACTTATTCCAAAAAAAAAAGAACGTGTATCAGTACAAACGTATAAAAATACGTACGGCACGCAAGACATATACATACGGCGCTGCAGCAGTGTATGCAATGACGAAATAGTCCGCATGTAACGCGAAGTTCGCGTGGCTCATGAGTCACCCATTGCAGTGATTCATTGGCACGCGTTGTCTCAACATGGCAAAATTAGAGTTAGCAATAGATAAGGCTTACCCTCATATCTGTTGTACGGGCATTGTATTCATTTCAGCACATCCTGAAAATTTCGCGTCCACAGCATGCCATCGGTGGTGACTCAGTGTTGATAACGCGATAGCATTGGATTGATGATTGATTGCTATGTGGGTGTAACGTCCCAAAACCACCACATGATTGTGAGAGACGCCGTAGTGGAGGGCTCCGGAAATGTCGACCACCTGGGGTTCTTTGACGTGCACCCAAATCTGAGCACACGGGTCTACAACGTTTCCACCTCCATCGAAAATGCAGCCGCCGCAGCCGGGATTCGATCTCGTGGCCAGCGGGTCAATAGCCGAGTATCTTATCCATGGTAGCATTGAAGAGCCTGAGCCTGTGTAGCGGAAACGCCGGTGTCGTTGGCGGTGAGCTGAAAATGGGCGTTTTACGTGAGGAAAAAATCAACGCAATGGACGCAAACAATAATGAAAAGTCATGAAACTGAGCTGGGAACAAACCCAGGCCGGCTGCGTGTCAAGAGCGCATCCTACCACGCAGCCACACCTGCGCTTGAAACTGCTTCAGAAAGACAATTAACTTACACAAACGTCATACTGTTGACCTTCTCTTGTAGTTCATACCCACTTTGGGGGATTGTCCAGTAATTGAGTTGTCTTATAAAATCTCATTCAATTTTAGAGTAATAGAGATTGTAAATCGAAAATGTTCCAAATCTCCGAACGAAACCTTGATACTCGTGGAAACGTACCAACATTTCCGCTTTTTATTCCTAAGGGATAATAATCTTTTTTATTAGAATAGATAGTAACTTGGATCGAGAACCTAACTTGAAAAAATAAGGAAAGTTATGCTTATATCGACCCAGGCGGATAATAATATGGGGTTAGTTTGGTAGTCCTTTAGTTTCATTAGGATCATTCTACACTGTAAGCCTACAACATTTTGCGCCTCCATCGGAAATGCAGCCGCCGCAGCCGGAATTCGATCCTGCGACCTGGGGGTCAGCAGCCAAATACCTGAGCCACTTGACCACCGCGGCGGGGCACAAAGAACCCCTTTGTCTTCTTCCCTGACCCTAGGTTACAAAGCATTCTCTTCTCTTCAAGTTGGGGGGGGGGGGGGTCACACTTTATTCCATTGAAATAGACACTCGACAGCTCTTCTGCGTTTACCGGTTCACGTTACCGAGTGTTGCCTTAATGTGCGAAGATTCCACGAAAAGTCACTTGTCGCAATTTACCTCGCAGTCGACGACGCGGGATTTGTCAAAAACGACGTGGTTGTTCACCCAACTGTGCTGCTTCAATAATCAGTACCAACTTGTCCAATCAACAAGCTTCAGTGTTATGCACCAACTTCTCCGTTGATCGGTAGTCGATACTTCAGCAGCCCGAAAAAGAAAGAGAACAATGTGTCAGACTTGACTTTGCCAACAACTTCATAGTGTGAGCGAGTACGATAATGAAACCTCTCAGGTAGCTTAAACCAAAAGAATATGCTCTTTTACTAGATGGGGGCACTAAAGCCAGCTAATTGCACCCGCGTATTTCGACGCGCTTTAATAAAGATAGGTAGCTGCGATGACACTCTATAATGCACAGGGGCTGAAGCAAGTGACCAACTTATTTTATTTCGTCTTATCCGCGTTCCACGCCACAGTATGGTCCCCCTGTCCTGTAGCGTAATCGCCGAAACGAACAATTCAACGTGGTTAATGAACTCCCCCACGTTGAAGACAAGAAGGGAGGCGTATCATCGTGCCTATCGAGCACGAGTACTCGTGTCCCGGGCGGTGACAGATAAGTGGAGCAAAAAAAAAAATGATATCAGCAAGGCCGTCCGCCTATTCTTGTCTCCCCTCCTATCTGGGTACGGGCGCAGATTACAGGATATCCGCAGCCCGAATACGACGCTTGCAAAGTCGAGTGCAATTCCTTTGCCCATCTACCGCTGTGGTGTACGTAGCGACGCAGCGTGCTGCTTTAGGCGAGCGCACTCGAGAAGTAATCGCCCACTGCCAACTTCTACATGGCCGCCGTGCTAAACAGCGCCTACGAAAAGGCCGAGGCCGCGGTGGCGGCCCTGCCCGAGCGAGTGCAGCAAGTCTTCGACCTCGCCCAGGAGAAGACCGGTGTTCAGCGCGCCTACTTCATGCTGGGCTTCGGCGTCTTCGCTGCGCTCTATTTCATCTTCGGCTGCTTCGCTGAGCTGCTCTGTAACGTCGTGGGCCTAGTGTATCCGGCGTACGCCTCGACGCGAGCCATAGAGTCAGGCCGACAGGAACGACGACACTCGCTGGCTCACCTACTGGGTCGTGTACGCCTGCTTCTCCATCCTGGACTTCTTCGCCGACGGCATCCTCAGGTTCTTCCCCTTCTACTGGCTCGTCAAGGTAGTCTTCCTCGTGTACTGCTTCCTGCCTATCCGTCCCAACGGCTCCACGCGTATCTACAACAGCCTCATTCACCCGTATTTCCTCAAGAGCAGCGGCCAGATCGACACCGCCTACGCGAAGATGGCTGCTAAAGCGTCGTCGGCCCTCGGAGACGCTTTGAAGCAGCAGTGAGACTTATGTTTTGTTGTAACATGTGTTGGGTGAGCAAAAAGTGCTGTGACGTCGTGGTGATTATCGTATGTGTCCTTTCTGATGTGTGTTGCTAAGTTCGGCGCACACGAGAGGTGGTTGCTGTCGGCGACTACTTATCTTCTGCGCGGTACTCGGGTTTAGATCAAAAAGCGAATCGACTTGTCGTGGCTGCTAGAGAACTGCAACATTCAAAGCATGGACGAACTCTTTTGCGTTGCTTCGCGTGAAGTAAGCAGGAAGTTCCTCGTTTTATGGGGGTACTGGCGGATGTTCTGCTGTTACAGCGTGCTTTTCGTTTTCAGGGAAAAGTTCTGTTATCAAGAACACGTTTTAAGAAAGCTAAAATAAATCTTGAAGGCTGTTTTTTTCCCAGAACGTTTCTGAGTGAGTAAGTTACTATGTCACGGATACTTGAAATCTTAGTATCAATAGTTCTACTGGCTATTAACTGGGAAAGGAGTTCGTGGCCTAAAATATTCTAAAGCTTTATATGTCCCATCTCATGCCAACTTGCTTGATACAGCGCCACTAGAAACTGGGGGTCTACTGTATAAGAAAGCCTGGTATATACCAAATACCAGAGATAAATTGATTAAATGTTTTGATAGCCGATACAAACTAGTGTAACGTACAGATGTAATCACACTTGTCTAGGGTATACCGGAGCGCCTGCTGGCTGTTGACACTGTTACTGGCCGCAGCGTCTACCTCACGACCACTACAAGCTTCCGTTCATGTTTGAACTGCAGCACAAGCGCCTATCATGCTGTATGCCCACGTTTGGAACCGTTATAGCTTCAGTATTTGCGCATTCCTGCAAAAAAAAAAAAACAGTAACTGCAGTGACCGGTGAACCGCTCTAGACAAGTACTATTCTGTCTGTACATACCCTTTAAGGGCTTTTGGTAGAGACTGCAGCGTCATTTCATCAAGGAATAGGGAGTGCTATGCCTTGTCACTTTTGCGCTAGTCAAAGTGAGTTACTTTGCCCATACCGTATAATGATTGTAACGCAGACGTACTTTGCAGCATTATTCTCTAGAACTTGCTGATAAGCGTTCCTTGCAACATATTTCGACTTTCCTTTCGGTAAGAGGTTGCATATCTTTGACAATAATCTTAGGAATGTTTTACATGTAGTTTTGAAGCCCCTAATTGTATTGCTTGCTCACAGTTGTTTTTAGCTGTTTTAAGTCCTATAGCTTTGAAGGTACTTTAAACGTTCAATACGCACCCGATTGATATACCAAGAAAGCAAGATACATTTGTCAACCACGAGGCCAAATGCTATATTTTAGGATACAGCGTTGGGCTACACAAACTGTGCAGGCTTAAGCGAGCTGCATTATTTGTGCTAGATAAGGTTACTCACCCCCTCTCATGTTTTCTCTCTTAATGCTCCGAGCGGTAGTATTTAGCCACCTTATCAATAAAAATATAAATTCATTATAGGTAGCTGCGCGCGCGTCACCATCAATGCAGGCGTCACCCTGTTAGTACCCAAATATCATGGCCCCGATGAAATCAGTGCTCAGTATCAGGGGCACGTTGTTTTGCCTTTTCAGTGAGCTCTTTCTAAACCAGATTATCTCGGTTATCGATTGGTGGCTACGATCAAGACACTCTTCTCTTTGTCGCGTTTTTTTTTGTTGATGCAGCTTTCCGACGTGCATCCCAAGATTGTGGCCCCAATGATATCGACGCATATTATCTGTGAGGAGTTGACCATTTCTTTTGTGCACTGCCAGCTCCTTCGATGCCATGAGTTATATAAACCAAAATTACAGATCCGATTTTAGGCCACTGGCTGCTTCTTTCTGTAGGGTATTCTCGAACTCAGAAATATCAAGTGGTAAATACGCGATTACTGCCTTTCATTACTCACAAGTACAGGCTACATTCATAGCTTTTTTTCAGGAGATAGGCTACTTGTATTCAGCATGCACAACAGGTGTTTATTTGCGAGCATCCTATAAAGACTGTAGCTCGCTCTCCCACATGTTTAACCAAGATAAATGCGTCTGTTAGGTGAATGAGATTCTCATATTTAGTGCTTAGTCATGCATCCTCTATGCTAAATAGGAAACTTTATTTGAGAACTAGCTTGAATTCAAAATATGTGGTTCCTTCTCTAGTGTGACACACGGAATCCGTTCATTATCACGCATGCAGTTCAGACTATAGCGGAGTGGTTAAATTGGTGGTAGTAGGAGACGCATTTCGAAGTATTACACCAGATGCGTTAGCCTTCACATTTCTCGCGTTATAAGCTTAGTGTCCAAAGTTAAAAGCTCACTGCACAGAATTCAGCTAGGAACAGAAAGAAACAAATGCACTAAGCCGCACAAAATTTGAAATTGCGAAACTGAATGATTTTTCATGTGCGTGCGTCTTGGTTCTTTCTATAGGTCTCAGCTTGGTGGATGCAGCTTGCTTCTAGGTCGTTGCTAAGCTTCGGCTAGGTTTGTGCTCGAATGTTTTTTTCCCTTCAACTTCGGAGCTGAGAAATTTGAGTTGATTGATTGATATGTGGGGTTTAACGTCCCAAAACCACCATATGATTATGAGAGACGCCGTAGTGGAGGGCTCCGGAAATTTTGACCGCCTGGGGTTCTTTAACGTGCACCCAAATCTGAGCACACGGGCCTACAACATTTCCGCCTCCATCGGAAATGCAGCCGCCGCAGCCGGGATCCGAACCCGCGACCTGCGGGTCAGCAGCCGAGTACCTTAGCCACTAGACCACCGCGGCGGGGCGAGAAATTTGAGGTAAACCACGGACAATCGCAAACATGACATAGACGCGTCGTCGTTGGCGTAGTCTTTACTTTTATCGATTCGTGTCTTTTCGCAGCCACCACTGCTTTTCCCGCTACCTAGTGTTATCTATACGTACTAGGGGTGTTCGGCTCACTACCATCGCTTCACAGCCATTTATCCGGCTAGCTATTGCCTTTTTTCGTTTAATGGTAAGTAGGGGGATTTACGCAATTTCTGTGGTGCATCACCATTTATGATGATGATAGTTTTTTGGTACAGCGAGAACGAGCAACGATTTGCGACTCAGCTTCGCTGTTAGAAAAAAAAAAAAGCACGTGCAGGTTCTACAGCAGAAGTATAGAAGAAACAGCGATAAAGGCTTCATACTCGATGTGGGGACATGCGTAGAAGCGCCTTGTCGTCCTTAAGTGGTTGGGTCTAAAGGCATTACGTTCAATGAAGCCATATTGCTGATAAGACAGAGGCCACATAAAGAGTACAGGACGTGCGTCAGCTGAAGTTATGCCAGCTAATGGGGTTAACTGACGTAAACTGTAATCACTATCACTTCCCATGGTCTGGATAGAAAATGTGTAAGGAAGGGGATAGGAAGTGAACATGTTTGTTGCGCTTGTATAAACACAGTGGCTGCAATAGCAACGTACACATCAAGGAATTTGCTGACAGACTAAACGATTTATTGTGACGCTATGCCTCACGCGATACCGTAAGAAGAAACGTACTATCGCTGTTATACGGCAGTGATTGGGGAAATTAAAACGCAATGTTTGTAGAACAACCTTTGCGAATAATTAGGTGATAGATAGCAGTCACTCGTGAAGAGCTTCAAGTTTTTCTCAACATATATATTCTCAAAGACGACGAGATGTTATTTGCTTGAATTTATGCATTAGTGAATGCAATCTGCACTGAATTTGTGCTCTTTCATTTTCTCTCCCGATCTCGGGTTGATCTATAATAATTAAAAAGAAACAACAAAATAGGTATAAAAGTATTGATTTTTGAAAAGCTTCTCTCAAACTTAGTTTGCAGTGTGCCTTAAGTCCTCAACTTCTTGTAAAACAAAGATTGAAATGTTCCTTCATAATTTTAATTGCGAGTCGCCTGCTCCAAAGCTTGCTTTCACAGTACTTAGTCTATCTACTTAGCTCCACCAGCATGCCGTTTTGCCTAAGTTGCGCAAACACATCCTGTGCTGCAGCGCATAAAGCACTCCCATCGATTAGAGTTTAACACGCGCCAACGTATAAGCACATGGACTGACGGTGAGCCTCTAAGTACAGCACTTTAATATTGCATAATGTAGTATTGAAGATATGAGAGCCTCCGCAATAACAATACGATGTTGACATTTCCACGCATCGGACACGTGCTATAAGAATACCTTCCGTGCTCAACCTGCCTACGTACGAGTCGGAGAAACTCAGTGTTGCCGACCAGCGTAATATTTCATTATAGAACAGAGCCTTTACGGCTGGAGCACCAGCTGTTCCGTTTGAAGAGACTGCGGGCTCTACAAGATTTCTGACTAATGTAATACCGGTGTATCAGTGATACCGGTGACTAATGTAATACCGGTGTATGTAATGTATCGTGATCAGGGCGATCCGCGGATCAGTTTTCTTGATCGCGATCAACTTTATGACCGCTGCTACACGACCCAAGCTAATCCGGTTCGAGCTTGGGTAAGATGAAATGCCCCGGATGGCATTTGCGTGCGTAAAACATGCCACTGATAAAACTCGGCGTACGGTATATCTATGCAGCCCTTTCTCAGCAATGGTATACTTGCGCAAGAACCGCCCGAAATTCAAAAACTTTGCATGCCACTATACAGTTGCGATTTCACAAATCCATGATTCGATAAAATTTTCCTAGCACTTACCTGTACTGATGCGTGAGATTCTTATCCTTTGCTTTTATTTCTGACGGTCCCCGCTCGTAGCCGTGTAGTCGCAGTGAAGCGTCAATCTTGTTGTACGCTGCAGTGCTTCACTTCTGGCGCCTCAAGTCTGTTCCAGTCGCTGCTGCCAGTGGTCAATTACTGTAAAGATCTCTTCATTCGACCACGAAGTGCGCGTACGTTGTGACGTAGTCGAAAAACTTGCGGCACTCATAATCAGTTTGCTTCGAGGTGCTCCAACAGCTCCGACGGGGCGGGGGTTGAATTAAGCGCTGAAGGCAACGGCCGACCGCTTGTCGTCTGCTTGTCGTCTGCACCTCCCACAACTACATGCGGTCGATGCGAATCCTAAAATATGCAGTACTTCAAATATTGTTGCAATATAAACAGTTTATAATTTGCTTTTTATAAACACTTACTTAGCGGTTTTAAAGCGTTTTTAATGAACTATGCTCAAATATTTCTGTTTATTGTGCTTTCAACAAGCTCGGCTGCAGACGACAGCAAAAGCGCGATCTCTCATGACACACTAAACCAATTCTGACCCATAAGGGTGTCGAAAAGGGTGCCGACATCCTAAGCACACCCTTTGAGCACCCTATTCGCGTCTCAGCATCCTACAAGCGGAACCTAAAGGGTGAACACATCAAAAGGGTGGAAACTAGGGTGCAAAAAGGATGCGACAACT